CTCCCCCCACTCCTCTCCCCCTCCCTCTCCAGTCCAAAGAGCAGTCAGGGTTCCCTGCACTGTGGAAAGTCCAAGGTTCTCCCCCCTCCATCTAGGTCTAGGAAGGTGAGCATCCAAACTGGCTAGGCTCCCACAAAGCCACAAAGTACTTTTAAATTTAAAAATTACATGTATCTGTTTGTTTATTTGGATGTGTGCTCTGCAGGCATGCAGAGGTCAGATGACATCTTGTGGGAGTCAGTGCTCCTGGGATCAAACTCAGGTCCTTGGGCTTGGTGGCAGGCCTTCTTCCTGCTGAGCCATCTAATCGTGCAGGCTTGCTCACTGGCTTGTACTTTGACTTTTAATGAATGAGGGATTCAGTTCAATACTCAAATTTTTTCTCTCTTCTTTCCCTCTTTTTCTTAAGAGCGGATGTACCCCAGGCTAGCCTCAAGCTCCCTCCTTCTATCTATGAGGATGACTTTGGATTTCTCATTCTTTTGTCCCCACCTTCTGAGACCTAGAAATATAGGTGTATGCCAGATATGTTATTTATGTTGTTCTGGGGATCAAAATTCATGTTTTATACATACTAGAAAGCACTATACCAACTGACATATATTCCAGTCCCCAACATTTTCAAATATAAGTAATCCATTTTATTATTGGTAAAACTTTTATATATCCTTATAATCTTAAAGTTTTACAGCTGGATAAATCTGAACAATTTCATATCTATACTTTAACATATTTTAACTCTTTATTTGAAGTTTTCTTAGATTTATCATTCGTGCATTATAAATAGCAAATATTGTAAAATGTCCATATTTATTGAAATTTGTTTTCTAAAGGCCAGAATTTCCTCCTATGTAAAATAATTCCAGGCAGGTTATCTCCTTTAATGTTTTTCTGTCTTTCAGTTTATAATTAGAAGAAAATGCACTTTATTATTTTGAGTATTTTAGTAAGAATGCTTATATTCCAAGACTGAATTCACTGCTGAATTAACTTCAATTTTAGGTTATAATTTGAAAAGAAGATAACAAAAAATATGATGGTTTAGACAATAAAGAGAAGCAGGTTGAGATGTAGTTCAGTGGTAATCATTTGTTCACTAAGCATGGAGCTTTTGGTTCATTTCCCGGGAGGAGCAGAAAGAAGTGCAAAAGAATTTATATAGGGAGCCGGGCGCCCTGGACTGGAGAGATGGCTCAGTGATGAAAGACACTCACTTCTCTTGGAGGTCACCCAGGTTTGATTCTCAGCACACACATGGCTGTTCACAGTTGCCTACAACTTAGTTCCAGGAGATACAGTGCCCTCTTCTGAACCTTGAGGGCTCATACACATATGCAGTGCATATATAGACACTCAGACACACACACACAATATGTATACATATATTACTTATATTTAATATATATATTAAACAGAGAACCTGGAAATACCCAGCCCTGACCCTGACCTCCAGTAACACTAACACACTCAAGGACCTTGGGTGATCCTTAACACTGAAAAGAAAGTAATGTGAGCCGGGTGATGGTGGCATACACCTTTAATCCCAGCACTCGAGAGGCAGAGGCAGGTGGATCTCTGTGAGTTCGAGGCCAGCCTGGTCTACAAGATCTAGTTCCAGGACAGGAACCAAAAGCTACGGAGAAATCCTGTCTTGAAAATCCAAAGAAAAAAAGAATTTATATAGGAAAGGATAAATAATGGTTTTATTTTTCCAGTGAAGTAGTGTTTTTAAAAAGTCTTTTAAAAAAGTTTTTAAAAAGGTTACACAGTGTGTGTAACCTTTCCCAGATTCCTATCTATATAGTTTATTTTCCGTGGGATTTGTCTAGGTGTTTTGCCATTAGCTGCCTGTCAGCTTCGTGTGTTTTGCATTGCTTTCAGAGGATATCAGTATTGAATGTTTACTTGCATGTAGCATATGTACTGTGTTAAATGTTATAGTTTCAGTATAACTTCTATGAAGATTTTTTCCACTCCAGAGCTTTGCCATGTATGAAGCTATGGTCCTCTCAGTGACTGCTGCCTTCTGTTCTCATACACATCTTGTTTGATGAGTTTAGTATTATTCTGATTTTTTTTTTGCCTAAATGCTTTTTTCTTGAAAGTACAACTTACCATATATGCTGAAGGATTCTGTATTTTTACCTTTCTTTCCTTTCCCCTCCTTTTTATTTCCTTTTTAATATTTAGCTTCAGTTCTGAGCTATTATAAACTATGTTCCTCTTATGTGCATAGTTCCATGTTTCCTAGGTATGCTTATTCTGGCTTCTGAGTGGTGACTTGACAATGGTTGTAACACTTGGATTTTGTCTTTGTTCAGCTACAGCCCCATCTGTGCACATCTGGGATGCAGTGAACAAGCAGACATTGTCTATACTAAGATGCTCCCATTCAAAGGGTGTGTGCTCCGTCAGCTTCAGTGCTACTGGGAAGCTGCTGCTGTCTGTGGGGCTGGACCCAGAGCACACCATTACCATTTGGAGATGGCAGGAAGGTAGGATTCTTTTCGTTTGTGTGATTAAAAAAACAAAACAAAACAAAACAAAACAAAACAAAGCAACACATACACAAACAAAAACAAGCCAACAAAAACTCACACGAATACTAGGACTGTATGAATGTTCTCTTTTAGCGTTTGCCTTAAGTTGGGAATTGAAGCCATTTTTCGCTATGGTCCTACCAAACATATAGCACACAGTTGGTAGCACTGTATGTGTGCCCTTAAGAAACCCCAGTGAGGACATAAGCTCACAAAACATGAAATAATGAAACCAGGTAGTATTAAAAATGATTTGCAATGATTTCCTTTCAGTAGAAACTGTGTTTTTGCTAATGATTTGATTAGTTCTGAGATATTTTAGTAAAAAATGAAAATTGTAAGGCATGGGGCACTTGCTTTTAATCCCAGCACTCAGGAGGATGACGCAAGAGGATTGCTGTGAATTTGAAACCCTTCTAGGGTTACATATCAAATTCAAGAGTGTATTGAGATCTAACCCAGAGCCTGGCACATGCTACACAGGTAATCTCTCACTGAACCACATCTCTTACCCATGAAACATACACATATACAACACATACCTACACACATATAAACACAATGCACACATGCATAAGCATGCATACACAACACACATACATGACACATACCTACACACAGATGCACACCATAGATAACACATACATAACACACACATGCTCCCCCCCACATATATAACATACACTCATATACACACACGCATATATAAACACACGTACATATACCCACTCATGCACGTATATACATGCATACACTCATATACATGCCTATATTCACACACATACATACACACATAAACATTCATATACCTATACACATACCCCCCTCCCCACAGCACATACTACATAGGTGATTTGACTTTGAACCACATCCATTACTCAAGAAAAGATGTACACACATACACATTCTGTTCCAAGACAGGGTCTCTCTTTGTAGCCCTGCTGGCTTGGAATTCACTGCGTTTACCTCCTGAGAGTCCTGGGATTGAGAATGGAAGACCAATAGAATGAATTCCCCAACACACTCTAGACAGATCATTTAATTTATATGAGGAATTAATGTAACTACATAGAAAAAGGTATGGTCTTTAAAATGGCCCCTAAATTGTCACAAAGAGCCCATAAACATGTGTTACTTGTAAAGATTTGTGTACCAGTGATTATAGGTCATATGATTGTTAAGTAGTAGAGCAAATATCAGGGCCTTCTTGCAAGCATTTGTGTTTGGGTTATTTTGTTTTGTTCTTAGCTATGCAATTTGAGGAAACTGTTCAGTCTTGGCAATTAGCTCCATTCTTATACTAACCTGTGAAATTTTTGTTGTGTCTTCTGTATCAGGGGCCAGAATTGCCAGCAGAGCTGGGCACAACCAACGTATTTTTGTAGCAGAATTTCGACCAGATTCAGATACCCAGTTTGTCTCTGTGGGTATAAAGCACGTGAAATTCTGGACCCTGGCAGGAAGGGCTCTTCTCAGCAAAAAAGGGCTTCTGAGCACACTGGAGGATGCCCGGATGCAGACGATGCTTGCTGTTGCATTTGGTGCAGTATGTCTGTTAAAATGCTGTGTGATGGTGTGTCTTGACTTGAAGTGTTTTTGCCGTATATTCATAAGCGCCATTACTATTGACTAGTCAGTGCAAATCCTGGTCAAGGATATGTCATCTTTAAAAAATCTAGTCCTTTTAGACATTAAGGGGTGAGTGACATTAAACATAAGAAAGCGAATGAGATAGTTACTGTCAAACGTGTGCACCCTCGGAACATTACCATCCTCCAAGCTTCATTGTCATATACTTGTCATGCTCCACAAGCTGCGATCTCAGACATCCTTGTGCTTCCTTGTGCACCTTCTGTGTGTTATAGTAAAAGAAAAGGAAACCAGGAAAGCCATGTTCAGTGTCTTCAGGGTGCTGGGGTTTAGTGTTTCCTTCGCTTTCTGTCACCAGAACCACTGTCCATCTTGTAGTTGGAAATACTCGGGGCCAGTGTCTGATCCAGGGGAGCAGGGAACTGAGTCCAGAGAACACAGTCCCTGCCCTCAGTGGAGTGTTCAAGAGTCTCTTGCTGTCTCTCATTCCATCCGCCTGGGTCTGTAGTAGTTTATAACCACTTCTCCTTTAATACCCTGCCCTGGCTAGGCTTTCCAAATTCTCTTCAAATTCTACAGAAAATGAAGTAGATTTTTTTAAAATGTGAAATATACATTTTAAGAAAGAAAGTTACAAGTTTAGAACAGTTGAACACACTTAAATATTTTTTAAAAAATGACTAACAATATTAAATAAATGGAATCTTTTGTTCATTCTTAATATAAGAGTATCCATTTGTTTCTAGAAAGAAACCCCTATTGGAATGATCCTGGCACTGGATCTGTCCATGTCTGTAGATGAACTTTCTTTATTCAAAGTTACTTTGTAGTCAAGTGCCCATTCTTGGTAAAATAAATAAATAAAAAGTAAGTAGTAAACTTAACAGCTATTACAAGAGAAAAATAGCTTTTTAATGTGTGAAGCAGTAGTGTGGCCAGGATATTTTCTCACAAGATAGCTTTATGTTCAGTTTAATAATTTTTCAGATGTCATGATGACTCCATGTTGGAGACTGGACAGAGAAAAGGAGAGAGGAATGCTGGTGTTCATAGCTGAAGTGTGCTCTAACTGCAGAGAGGCACCAAGTAGCGACTTTCCTAGATCTGCGGGAGTTAGTGAGGTCTTCGCTTTGATAATAGATTTATTTTCTGTGACAGAATTCTTTAGCAAACTCATTATTTTTCACTCCCTATTCCTAACCACCCCTTGTTTTCACTCTTAATGTTTAGTGACCTTTGGATTAGCTCTTGGACGACTGGAGGGCCCTGACTCAAAGAAAAGTGTCAGCTGGAGTTATAGTATTTTAGGAAAGATTTGTCCAAGGCTAGTCCCACTAGCAAAGGACAGATTTAGGAAAGGAAAGGCCCTACGGGAACTAAGCGTCACTCAGCCCCCTCTCCTGGGTCCAGTGTTGCCCACTCCACTTTGCATGTGCGTTGTCAAAGCAGGTGAGCTAGCATTCTGCTCACGTAGAGGATGACATCTGTTCGACCTCTCTTTGAACTTTTGATGAGTTTGTCTCCCCCCTTCCCCACTCCTTTTCAGAATAACTTGACGTTTACAGGTACCATCAGTGGTGATGTCTGTGTGTGGAAAGATCACATATTGTGTAGAGTGGTGGCCAGAGCGCACAATGGGCCTGTGTTTGCCATGTATACCACCCTGCGAGACGGACTGATCGTGACTGGCGGCAAGGAAAGGCCGTGAGTCCCCTTCATACCCTTACTGACTGTGTGTGCATTTGTGATCTACCCAAGGCCTAAGTTGGGTGTTCTGGCCTCCTCTAGGCTGCACAGATTAATTGCTCATTTACTTCTCCTTTGTTGCTAGTTATGTGTGATTTTGGGGTTCTCTTAATTCTTGTCTTAAATAATGTTTTTTTTTTTTACATTTTAGTTTTCATTTATTTTTTAATTTATTTTGTGCATGGGGGTGGAGGGAAGTATGTTCCCAGGACATGTGTAGAAATCAGAGGACAACATGTGGAAATGGATTCTTTCCTTCTACCATGTGCATTCCAGGGGTCAAACTCAGGTCAATTGCTTGGAGTCTCATTACCCACTGTGCAATCTTGCCAGCCAACTTTTGGGCATCTTAGATAAACTTGAACTGCAGCCAGAGTGCTACTTGTCTGAGATGGCCAAAGGCAGCTGTGCTTCTGATTAAGAATGATGTCCCTAGTCCTTGTGTGCCTGCATCAGTATTGCTGACAGGACATGAAGGGAAACCTTTACTTTAGAAGCCAAGTTATATCTTCATGCCCTATTGCCTCCCTCCCTGCGAGGTCAGAGTCATGGTAGTGAAAAAGGAGACAGAGAATGCTAAAGACAGTTTCTGAACTCATTCTTACACGACCTCAGTCATAAGCGTGAACAGAGACCTCTGTCTGCATTACTTTCAAATATCCAAACAGTAACCAGATCCTTAAAATTGATTTCTGGGCTGAGGTGAGGGCTCAGTGAGTAAAAGTGCTTACTCTATGTGCCTGATCTCCTGAGGACCAACCCAGTACCCACAGAAAAGCCGGAGAAGCCAGACCAAGGAGCACAAGCACTTGTAATCCTGGCACTTTCCCACGGGGAGAAGCCCATCCAGCTTGTTTGGATAAACTTCAGAGAAAGCCTATCTAAAACATGGTGGAAAGGCAAGGACTGACACCTGGTGGTGGAAATGTATAGAAGTCTGTGACCACATACATCCATGCACAGGAGCACAAACATACACCAAAAAGTAAATAATAAGTAAGTAAGTAAGTAAGTAAGTAAGTAAATAAATAAATAAATAAATAAATAAATAAATAAATAAGAAAGAAAGATCAAGGGTCTGGAGATCTGCCTCAGCAGTTATTAGCATGTACAGCTCTTGCAGAGGACCTGAGTTCAGCACAGCACTCATGCTGGGCAGCTCAGAACTACCTGTAACTCAGCTTCAAAGGATCCAGGGCCCTCTTCTGGACTCTGAGGGCACCTACACTCATACGTACACTACCCCCTCCCCACAGATATGTATGCACATAATTTAAAAAATTATAATAAATCTTCTAAAAATCAAATTAAAGCTGGGTATGATACATATCTTTAATCCCAGCACAGTGAAAACAGTGGCAGGCATATCTCTCTGAGTTCATTGAGGCCAATTTCTCTACATGGATAGTTGCCTCAGGGAGGCAATGAGACTGCCTCAAACCACTTGCTCCCTACCCCTACCCCCACCCCCCCAAAAAACAAATAAAAGCCATTTGCCACCAGTGTAGTCCTCTGGAAATTAAAAATGGACACACAGTAACTACAAAGTTCAGTTCTTTTGCTACAGATTGGCACACAGTTACCTACTGAGCACATATGGTCTGCTGTTTCTTTGATGGGAAGGTGTGTTTTCTCCTAAAGCAAAATGAAGGAATTATTTTTCAGTTTTTTTTTTTCAAGAGAAAATCCCATAAATGGCTTTATTTTATCCTTTGTATATTACTCCAAATACTTGTATTTCCCATAGCATCTGATTTTGCATACCTTTACTAATAGCCTGCTATAATAGGATATTTTAATAATTGTAGGATATTTAATAAATGTGCTGCCCTTTTGGCCTTTAAAAGTAAATTCTATGGCACAACATCTATAATGCTCTTTCTTGTTTTGCATTTCTAATGTTAGAAATTGTTTTGTGAACTAGGTGTGTGGCACGCGCCTTAAATCCCAGCACTCAGGAGACAGAATCAGGTGGATCTCTGTGAGGCCAGCCTGGTCTACAGAGTGAGTTCCAGGACAATTAGGGCTGTTACACAGAGAAACCCTGTCTCAATCCCCCCCCCCCAAATCTTGTGGGGCTGGTGTGATGGCTTAGCAGGTTAAGACATTTGCCATACATGCCTGGGGATGAGTTTAGTTCCCAGGTAAAGGTGGAAAGGGAGAACAGATTCCAAAGTTGTTCTCTGACCTGCAGATGCACACCATGGTATGTGTGTACACACACAATCTTTGAAAACAAAACAATCCTCTTTTCTGCATTTTCTTAATGGAGAACTATTGTGAGAAATTTATTGTAATATAAAGTGGACTAAATAAAATTATGCTTGTGTCAGAAGAAAATATTTCACAAAATAAAGTTTACCAAACCGGAAGCACACTGATAAATAAGTAAATATTATATATAAATAAATATTGCATATTTATTTATTATGAATTGTATGTATCCTTGACTGATAATTTAGAATACTAGAAGTTACAAATAGGGTGTTTAAAATATTCTGTTTAAAATGAAAATTATTGTAGTAGTCAATTATAAACACTTACTTGGGTTTTATTTTTATTTACCTAGGTCAAAGGAAGGAGGTGCAGTTAAACTGTGGGACCAGGAACTGAGGCGATGCCGGGCCTTCAGGCTTGAGACAGGACAAGTCACAGATTGTGTCCGGTCTGTGTGCAGAGGCAAAGTAAGGTGTCCCTTGAGCCAGTGCGATGCAGCAGAAAACAGAGAGCAGCTGTGCTGTGATCCCTGCACTCTGTAACTTAAAAACCTATACTTGATTTATAGGGTGCTGTTATGTCCACTTTTACTAATACAGAAAACTTGTGCCTAAGCGAGTTTTCTTTAAACCTCTGTATTGTCTTGAATCTTCTGATTGACCTATGGTAAGATAGGTTGAAAATCCTCACCACTGACTCGTTTTTATTAGAGCAGCTCTTTCCATGTGTCTCCAGCAGCAGCATTTCCCCATGCTACTGGCCATACCCTGCGTTCCTCTCTTAAGGACCTCTGTTCACATATGGCTAGGGTCTTGACACGTAATGCAGAAAGGAATGTCTGGGCAAGCCAGCATGAATGAAGTAGAGAAGGGTTAGCCGGGCATGAGAGCTCTTAGGATTTGGGAGTTTTTACGATACGTTGCCCAAAGGTTGCAGCTATGTTCAAGGTTAAACGGAGCTTGTTGTTTTAAGATTTAAGATATGTTTAAGATTTAAGATATGTTTGTTCTGTGTGTATGGGTGATGTTCTTACATGTGTATCTGTGTACTTTGTGTGTTCCTGGTGCCCACCAAAGGCAGCAGTGGACATCAGATCCCCGGAAACTATAGTTATAGATCATTGTGAGCTGTGGAACCTAACCCATATCCTCTGCAAGAGCAGCGGCTGTTCTAAAGTGCGAATCTAATCTGTATTTCTATCCCTTAAGCAAAGTTTTAAAATTAAAATTTACAAATTAAATTTTAAAATGAGCTAGTTTACTTATCTTAAAGAAATTCCCTTTGTAAATGAGATTTTAAAGTAGCTTATAAGATGCACTGTTTAGGTTTATGAGTGAGGGATGAATGCAGATGAAGTTAAACTCAAAGATCACCTATGTTGTGGTCTTGCCTTGACCTCCTGAGTGCTGGAATTACAGATGTGCACCAACACACTCAACTCAGCTATGGCACTCTGTGGTTATCTCTCAGAAAAAGGGATTATTTATTTTTAGAAAGTCTTACTAGCTGGGCACTGCCTTTAACCCCAGCCTTCAGGAGGCAAAGACATGTAGAGCTCTGAGTTTGAGGCCAGCCTGGTCTACAGAGTGAGTTCCAGGACAGCCAGGACTACACAGTGAAACCTTGTCTCAAAAAACCAAAACAACAGACAAACAAAAAATAAAGTCTTCCAGAATGTTTGGGGTGGGGGTTGTTTTCTGTTTATTGATTTGCATTCAGCAAAAAAGCCAACAAAACAAATCAAATACCTGAGTGAGGGCCTTCTTTCTCTTTCAGCTTTAATTTCCCCTATTCTGCTTCCTCTAAAAATAACAAAACCATGTCAGGAGGTGGTGGCACACGCCTTTAACCCCAGCACTTGGAAGGCAGAGGCAGGTGGATCTAGGCAAGTTTGAGGCCAGCCTGGTCTACAAGAGTTGGTTCCAGGACAGCCAGGACAGTTACACCGAGAAATCTTGTCTTGAAAAACGAAAAAAAAAAAAAAAACCAAACAAATAAAACCACCCCCCAAAGAAACAAAATCTCATACATTTCTGTGAAAACTGGTATGCACTTGTACTGTGTGCCTATAAATCAAATGCATGTGCTGTCCTATCTGTATACTTAAATCCTAGTTAAGTTTAAACATTCTTCTGCTGAGACAAGTTCTGCTGTGTAGTCTAGGCTGGCCTGGAGCTCGTAGTCATCACGCCTCAGCCTACCACGTGCTGGTATTACAGGTGTATGCCACCAAACTTAGCAGTTTACTTTTCAACTAAAAGATGAATTCTAGTTCTTTTTGTGTCTCAGTGCACTTTTTCCCACTCTGGAGGTCATAATATTATCATAGTCAAAGTCAAAACTCTGAATACTGAAGTGTATAGATACGTCACCGCAGAGAGAAGTTGTCTCTAGCTCAGACTCTACCATGCAAGTAGCCCAAGATGTTGCCATTATGTGTCCCTAGGAAGAGAAACATTTGTATGCGCTAATGATTACTTTGCAATTAGATTAGTTCAAAGCATGTAACTGTTGTATTGCATTAAGTGGATTGGTCCCTCTGTGTTTCAGGGCAAGATATTAGTTGGGACAAGGAATGCTGAAATAATTGAAGTTGGAGAGAAAAATGCAGCATGTAACATTTTAGTTAATGGTCATGTGGATGGGCCAATATGGGGACTAGCAACACATCCTTCCAGGGATTTTTTCCTTTCTGCTGCAGAAGATGGGACAGTGAGACTCTGGGATATTGCTGATAAAGTAGGTATATACAGTTTTTTAATGAGAGGTTACAGTTTTTAAGAAGTGCAAATCCTCAACTGCTAGCTTTAGCTTGATATTGAGGTTTGAGGAAAACTGGTTTCAACTGTAAATGTTTCCTGTGATTCTTGCTTCTTATGCAGAAGATGCTAAACAAAGTAAATTTGGGACATGCTGCGCAGACAGTGTGTTATAGCCCTGAAGGGGACATGGTGGCTATTGGAATGAAAAATGGAGAATTTATTATATTACTTGTGAGTTCTCTGAAAATATGGGGAAAGAAGAGAGACAGGCGATGTGCAATCCATGACATCAGGTTAGTCAACAGATGAAATAAATTTTCTAGTTGATTTTTACAATGACCAACATAAACTTAAAAAAAAAAACTTGCCCATACATCTAGAATAGGTCCTGACATGTAATTCCTTATTTATTTTTGCAGTATGGAGATACCCATGACCTGATGCCTTTGAGGCAAAGACTCTACTCCTTGAGCTACACCCCTAGCAATTATACATGTTATATAAGCTGCATGCTGGTGTGGTTATATTTAAATTATTCTTGCTAAATAAAAAAATCCTAATGAATATCACCTATCTTATGATACCAACTACTAGACGTGTGTAGTAAACTGCCTTACTGAGAACTGGTTTGTGCTGATAATATGAAAGCCAGCAGCCATCCAGAAGTTTGAAAACCAAGGTTAAAATACCTTTGCTTAATCCCAGCAAGGCTTCACAGGTCAACTGTGGCCTTCCTCCCCAGAGCTTCTCCTTGCTTTCCCAGTTCATTAATTCAGGCAATACTAAATAACTATTTGCCAGAATTCAAATTAACCAAACCTTTTTTTTTTTTGTGAAAGATTTGCCGTGTATATATGTAGGCACACACATACTACAGGGTGCACAAGTGGTGGTCAGAGGGCAACTTGTAGAAGTTGGTCCTCTCTTTCCACCATGTGGATTCTGGAGTCTGAACTCAGGTCTGGCAGGCATGGCAGTGGGAGACTTTACCTACTCCTGAATGGTCTCTGGGGCCTTTAACCCTTTCTTGATCTTTTCTTAGTGCTTAAACTAATTTTCATAGTAGCTATACTGGGTCTGGGTCTGTCAAAAATGGGTGTTTTCCACTGTAAAACACTTTTTATAAAAGAAATCTCAGGGCTTTTCTTCACCTCTCCACGTCTCTATTGTTACTCAACAAGACTCCTGGGACATTTTTCAAGACTCGGTTTGTACCCTATTGCTTCCTGTGACTGATAGAGGAGAACTTTTGTGATTTACCTTTTAATAAATATTCTTCCAGCTTAGAGTTGTCATTTTACCCTAACAACCCAAGTGAGCTAATTTGACTGGTATTTGGATATTAAGACATCATTTTTCTATCTTATTAAGTATGTTGATTTAGCAATTCTAAATTATTTTGAAGCCAGCTGAGGTGGTGCACACTTAATGACAGCACTTGGGTGGCAAAAGGCAGGCGGATCCCTGAGTTTAGTCTAAAGAACAGCCAGGGCTACATAGAGAAACCCTCACAAAACAACCAAACCAAACCAACTTATTTTAAAATTAGAATTGGAAGACAATATTTAGTATAAGCAAACTGTAAAAATCTTTACTGTTACTAGGCAAATGCAATCTGTGTGCTTGCAAGTTATGTCTCCTAGGTAACTTAAAGCAACATCAAATACTGATTTTTCAGGTGCTGGAGTAAGACCCTGATATTAAAAACAGTTGAACAATTACATGGGACCTAACGGTGTTTTTTTTTTTTTAACATTTTATGCATTCAGATTTAGTCCAGATTCCCGGTATTTGGCAGTGGGTTCTAGTGAGAATTCAGTGGACTTTTATGACCTAACATTGGGTCCCACCCTTAACCGAATCAGCTACTGCAAAGACATTCCAAGCTTTGTCATTCAAATGGACTTCTCTGCAGATAGCAGACATCTCCAGGTACAGCATCAATACTGCACCCCATTTCTAAAGATATTTGCTTGTACATTTCTTTAGTGTGAATGCATTTAAAGCCCTAGGGACTGTACCTGAACTCACTGATCTGTTTTTTTCTGTATTACTTCTGTATCCTGCTCTGTGAAATTGAACTTTACTATTTATGTGTACATGTTATGGGTTACATATTATAAACTATCATGCCCATTGCCTCAGAAGATAATTTGTGGCAAGTGTTTAGAATCTCATCACTCAGCAGGCATACCAACTATAGTAGACGATGGCCTCTGGTGTTTACTGCTGTGCGTATCAGCTCACTCTGCTCCTGCCGTTCTCACCTGCATCTCTTACCTTCCTTTCATGCTTTGACTTTTTACGTCCTCATGATGACACATAACAAAGGTATCTACTAATAATGGATGTTTCCTCTCGTTTTGAGAACAGGTTTCTAGTGGCTGCTATAAACGGCATGTCTATGAAGTGCCTTCAGGAAAACACCTTGTAGACCATGCTGCCATTGATAGGATCACATGGGCTACCTGGACAAGGTAAATAAACACTTCCTTCACTCAAATGATTTTTGAGGTTGGAGAAGTTGGAAATTATGGATTGGGAATGTGGCTCAGTAGCATGAACAAGGCCACGTTTGAGCAGAAAGCAGGAAACCAGCCTAGGCATCAACTTTGTCCTAGAGTATGGGAGGCAGAAGTGATTCAGGGTCAAGGCATGTTTGATCTACATAGCAGATTTGTGGCTAGCCAGGGATATATTGCATGACCGTCTCAAAAACAAAAGTAGCAAAGTCTATTTTTGAATTATTGCATGATGGAATACATGACTTTGTTATCCTGTCTTGAATTTTAACAAATAAATAGTATGTTGATTCTGGGACCCCTTCCATTTAAATACCATCCTACACTTTATCAGTTTCCATGGCTCAAACAAGTTCTTGAAGAGCATTTAGTGTAATGACCTTGAATATGTCATGGCATTTTCCTAAGAGATCAACAGTAATAAAGCAGCTGGTAGAGCCAGGAAATACACATCTTTACCCTAGCATTTGAGAGGAGAGGTAATTATTTTTGTTTAATATGGTTAAAATGTCTTGTTTTCTGTGGTGCATTTGTTTTCCCTCTACCTAGTATTCTGGGAGATGAAGTTATGGGAATCTGGTCCAGACATGCTGAGAAAGCAGATGTCACCTGTGCCTGTGTATCTCATTCAGGAATCAGCCTTGTGACGGGAGATGACTTTGGCATGGTTAAATTATACGATTTTCCATGCCCAGAAAAATTTGTAAGTGCTTAGTATTTTTGTATTACTTTAGCTGTATCTTAGATGATTCATCTTTTCCCACATTATATAAAATGTTATGGTGCTGATACTAAATACTGTAGTTAAAATTTCATTTCCAAAGGTTTCCTCCTCAACACCCAAAATAAAAGCTTAATATTAAAAACAAATCTTCCAGGCCAGGTGTGGTGATGCCTGCCTTTGATCTCAGCACTTCAGAGGCAGAGGCAGGTAGATTTCTGAATTCAAGGATAGCCTTGTCTCAAAACACAAATCTTCCCTATAGTCTCCAGAAACTCGTAGACAAATTTTGATGAGCTTTTACTAAGTTCCACCCTACCCCCTTTTTTCAGAGAGAAAAGCTTCCAGGGACCTGTAGATATGACTACCCAAATGAATTAGTTTGTTGTACACAGACCTGTAAACTGCCAGAGGGCTACCTCCCTACTCTTGTGATAAATTTTGGGAACCTTTGTATACATCATTAATGAGGGAGTTTTCTGTTTTAGGCAAAGCACAAGAGGTTCTTAGGTCATTCTCCCCATGTGACGAATATTCGATTTACCAGTGGTGATCGACATGTTGTCAGTGCTGGAGGCGATGACTGCAGGTCAGTATTTCAGTCCAGGAAGAGCATGACTACCTCAGTACTAGTGAAGACTTACTAAAGTAACTCAGCCAGTATCTCTCAGATGGTAACAGCCAGTGACTCCAAAGCCATTACCTCATATAAACAAACAAGTTATTGTACATGTGATCCGAAAGATAAATTGGCAAAATCTAAAAACCTAGAATGTGATGAACTCCTTGTCACTTTTTTTTTTATTGTAGTTTGTTTGTCTGGAAATGTGTACATATGCCTCACTGAACTGCCAGTATGATGCTGAGAAGACTGAACAAATCTCACCTCAAGACCAGTTCCATGACAAAAAAAAACCAAAACCAAACTCTGCATGGTCCAGTGGTGCTAACTGAAGACTGACAGGGAGGGATGCAGAGAACCATCCACACAGCAGAAGACTGACAGTTCGCAATGCTTGCTGTATGTACCAACCCATAATCTGTACACTGCCAGATAATTACATTGCAAATGACTCAATTACTTGATAAAAGCCATCCTCCTCTTATTGAGGAGTGTGTAATTTGGCAGACTTGCCCAGGAGATTTAGGGTACAGCAGTCTTAAAAAAAAATTGAAAATTTTCTCATTTCTAACATTTCTTCAATGAAATATTTCACCCTTGTACAAGGAAAGGCGTAAGTGACCATCATCCTAAAGTGTCAGTTTTAGAAATGCAAACATTTTTCTTAGGGGAACTTACACAAGCTTTCCTGGCAAATGTTTCTTGAACATTAGTTTAGTGCCCTCTGCAAAGGACACTGCTCCCCAGTCTGCTGAGAATAGATCCCCTCAGCAGCATATGACGGCTACGTTTTCATGCTCGAGCTGTCAATCTTTGTGTTTCGGAGCCATCTCCATAAAATTTTGAAGCAAAATATGGCATTAATGGGAAAGTGGTAATAATGAACATTCATTTCCAAGTGTACAGTTTTTTAAGGTTCTGTGATAGCAATAGTTCAACGGAAAGATAATACTGCATATTTAAAGGTATGATCTAATTAATAAACCTGCTCATTCTGTAAAAAAAACATTAAATTCATACACGAATAACACTGGGCATACATTTTTATAGTTTTCTATTGAAACAAGCTGTTTAACTAGATGTATGCCAACCTGTAAGGCTGTTTTCCAAAATGACTCCAGGATCATCTGAAGGAACTCAGTCAGAATCCTTCCATTTTAATGCTGCCAAAGATTGGGACTTAACTTCCAGGACTCTGCTGTTTAGCCTCGCTAGTTTCTTCAACATGAGAACTCCAGTAGACTGTCGTGTAAAACTTATTTTTCTACATGTGACGACACCGAGGATGCTCTACTGGTTATTTTCATTTTTATTTTACTGTGTAAATTATCTTTGTAGCATAGATTCCCTCCCCCAAAGCCTCTGGAATCCTGTTTGGTTTGCTATGTTTTCTATGGCTCAAAAATTGTGAATATTAAAACCAGAATGAACACACTGCATCAGAGAACTTTTGTCTAAGCAGTGCTTGGAGCCTGGCAAGTTTTAAAGCTGAAGGCTGATGAAGAAACTTCAAGGACCTTAAAGCATAAGCTCTTCCACTGCTCATGCCAAATGGTCCATCTATATTAGGCCAAGTTTTTCTAAATACACTGGTATTACATAAAATGGGAGTCAATAAATTAAAGAATTCATGTAAAAAGAAAACCACCTTCAAATTTAAGCATGGTATATATTATAGTTCTAAGATTTCCCCTCTGGACAGCTTGCCAGCTTTTAGTTACAGAAAAATTTCAGTTCTATAAAAGTCCATAATGTTAAACAAGTAAACCATAAAGAAAAAACTGCTTCCTTTCTACTTTTGTCCCCCAAAGTGGCAGTCCCTGCTGGATTAACCACCAACTGTGAAAAGGATGACGAATCATATACAATCTGCCCTATAGTTTTTAAATCCAGGGAATTATGGTGTGTACTTGCACTATCTGAATTTACAGCCCAAGACTGCCACCAGTTGTTGTCATCCCCCTTGTTTCCGATGTAAATGCACGCCAAAGCACATAGCACACTCTGCATCATCATCAACCATGTCCACTCTTTCTCTGGGTGACTTCTTGTGTGGTTTCATTTAGAACAAGTAGTCCAGTTAATTGTTTTAGGGTCAGAGTAAGCCTGTCTATAAACCACAGTCTTGAACAACAAACCATTCAAATGTGGGGCTATAGCATGTACTTCAGATGGTAGAGTGTATACCTAAATTTGTAAAGCCCTGGATTTAATCCCTAGCACCACATATTAAATGGGGCATGTCTATAATCCCAGGTGTAAGCACAGAATCAGAAATTCACAGTCATTCTTGCCTACATAGTGCATTTGAGGATAGTCTGAAGTATGTGAGACTCTACCTTAAAAAAAAAAAAAAACCTTTTTAATTGTGTTTACGGTCACTGTCTACTAAATAACAGAAAGTAATTGGGTTGTCACATGTTCTTTTTTTTTTTTTTTTATAAAAAGCTAAACCAGTTAAGTCCCTGTCCCCCACTTCTGGTCTTTACTGGACAGTTATGAGAACACATCAATGCACATTTTTACAAAGTGATAGTTAGAAAGCATAGTTCTGGAAATTCACACAATTTTCAACAAAATTTTTCAGCTGAGATGCAATGCTAGAATGAATGCCTTAAATTTAATGGAATGCACTTACAGAATGAAGAATTGCCACCTCACCTGACCCTTTGCAGCAAGCAGCTTTAGGCCCTTGTCTCCTTTGTCCTTTTGCTCTTTCTGATCTTTACTCTATGGGATTAGCATGGCCAAAGCCAACTTATGAAATGGTCGAATAATTAGCTTAATGCTTTTAACTCTCAATGAAAAGGCAATGACCACAGCAGTAGAAGGGCTGGCTTCACAGTGTTAAACAAGACTTTTATAGGCGTGACTTTATTATCCATCCTTTATGTAACTTAACAGTTTAAATTTGGTCCTGAAAATGTTTGAGCTTTTATTATCCCCTTTACTAACCACCTCTTACACTTTAATTTTTAAAACATCAAGTCTTTGAAAAATCAGTTGTCTGTTATTTAAAACATTTGACACTTCTTGCCTTAACAACTTTCAAAAACCACACACATAAAACTTCACACAGTGGCCAAGTTTCATCTTATTGTGACGTTTACCCATTTGATTTCTGTAATTATATATAGTTCTGCATTTAAAATATACCACTTAAATCTACATTTCAAGAATGATCTTTAGGTGTAACTAAGTATATTTTCTGTGGAGTTATTTCTGACAATATTTTTCAGAACATTGGAATATTTTATACTCTTGTGAGTTCAAAGTCTGTTTTCTGAAACTTTCTGTATATACTTGTAAAATTTTTTGTATGATTTTGTGATAATGTAGTCTCCCCAAAATTATTTTTAAATTATATGCTAATAGTAAATAGAAGCGTTTCAATGAATTGTTCATATGTTTTTGCATTTGTCATTCCAACCATGTTTACCCTATATGACCATGTTACTACTTACTTTCACAGAAGGCAAGGGATCTCAGTCCACTCTACCAGAGTAGCACTTAAGCTAAGACTCTGTATTATGCTTTTCAAAGCAAACTGATTCAGACATTAAAAACAAAATTTAAATTAGTTGTTCAAATCTGCCTTAGTATTTTGGCCATTCCTATTTCCTCAAAGATGATGCAATATTTGTAACCCAGTGAGAAAACGCTGCATCATCTTTGGGAAAAGCAATTCAGCTGTGAGGACAATGGCCTTCAAACAGGCACTACAGCCCTAAGTTACAGGACCATTACTAAAAATGATGTTAAATAGCAATGTACAAATATGCCGTAAATGTTTTAATAGACTTTGGCTTTTCTTCAAACTGTCTCCTTCCATAGTCAAAACTGTCTTTTTCATCGTCAAAACAAACAAACAAAAAATGTTGAAACCACTTAATAAACTTACATACTTGAAAAATTAGACACTTCAGTTAGGCAACAAAATTCATATTATGAAAGCAATATATTCTAAATTTCAAAGACGTGACAAGTTCTGTAGAGTATCTCTCAGAAGATGGAAGCTTTCAAACTCCATGATCTTCTTGCCAGGTAGGACTATGGCATCATTCGCTGAATAAATAAAACCAAAAATTTGTTAAATTAACTTCTCCACATATAAATACAAAACTTCTAGCTAAGGTGTTTGTTCTTTTAAGAATTCAATTACATAAAGGTGATTAAAGTTTAAAAATTATGCAATTTAACTTCTAGGCCATGTTAAAATGTTCTGAAACTTCAGTATTTTGCCATCACTAAAGTCTAAGAAAACTGACTTGGGATTTCTTTTACTTTTTAAACTATGTATGGACATGAATATAGAGGCCAGAGGACAACCTCAAATGTCATCCTCACAAACACTATCCGTCTCTCCGTGGCCTGGAACACTCATCAAGTAGGCTGGACTGGCTGGCTGACAGCAAACCCCAAGGATCTGCCTTCTGCCTCTGTCTTCCCAACTCTGGGATTACAAGTGCATGTTCACAATTTTATATGGGTTCTGGGGATCAAACACGGACAGATCCTCAAGCTTGTGAGGCAAACAGTTTAAAGACTAAGCAGTCTCCCTGCCCTGATCTGAGACGGTAGAGCAGTGTGTTAAAATATATACACACAGACAATCTGCTGGCCTAGATGTTATGTTTGTACTGTTGATGCTCAGAAGTTAGAGGGGCTGAAGGGTGGATTCAGTGGCTCCCTATTATTCACTGTGCTCTGGATTAAAAAACAGAACTCATCTGGAGATGATGTCGGTTAAACAATGTCATCTCTAGGTAAATGTAGTTCATGTTGTAAATCATTTTTGCTAAAAATAAAAAATCCTTGTCTGATTTTTAAAAGTACAGAGGAGATAAAAATTCAATTTCCCTCAGATTTGTGTGCCTATACACAGGATATAAATCTAAATGCCATTAAAATTAGAGATGCTAACTTAAATCCTCACCTAGTTTGAGGTCGAATCCATTTCAAGGCATGTCTTGGTGGTACAGTAATGGTGGGATGGTAAAACGTGCAGTCTGGTCTTGTACACTGAGTATTAAACCTACAGTGCTAAACACAAACAAGAGGGAACAAAGGTTCAACAAAATCTGCAAGATAATACAGGAAATACACCCATGAGATAAGCATAAGCAGTCCACTGTAACTAAACTAACAGATGTGGTAATGCCCTCTTAATACCACTGAAAGCCTTAAAAAATATACCTCCTCCTGAGACACAAAATCTCAGCAGAGCCGGGCGGTGGTGGCGCACGCCTTTAAAGCACTCGGGAGGCAGAGGCAGGCGGATCTCCGTGAGTTCGAGACCAGCCTGGTCTACAGAGCTAGTTCCAGGACAGGCTCCAAAGTTACAGAGAAACCCTGTCTTGAAAAACCAAAAAAAAAAAAAAAAAAATCTCAGCAGAATCATAGCAGGATATCTGCTAACATGTGCACAAACCCACACATATGCATAAACAAAAATAAAATGTACACAGAAGAGAAACCCAAACTTCAGAGTGGAAAGTAAAATGTCTTACTTTTGGGTGGTAGAAGGGACATTCCATTTTCTTACAAGCTGGGAAGTAACGGCAGAGCTGACCATTAGAAGATGGTGCTGGTGATGAGACTACTAACAAAAATCAAAATAAAGAATGGTCAAATCTATGTGGCAACATTTTTTAATGCAGTCTGCTGGAATTTTTAAAGTAAGACTCAATTTATAATACCAAGTTTTATCTATCAGTCAAGATAAAATGGCAAAGAAGGGCAGATTTGTTCTTTAAATGGTAAAGTAATTTCTAAAACTATTCTTTTGTTGTTTCATTTCACTTAGAGCCAGAAAATGGCACTTTCTACTTTTTCACCCAAATACAACAGTGCACAGTCACTAACCTGGTTTTGAAGTCAGTACTGGAATTCTTCTACTGATGTGTGTGAAGGGACAATCTGGTTTAGTACACTTTGCATCATATTTACAGTTTGGATGCACAAACAAACATTTTTCAGCAAATTTACAATTGGGAAAGGCTCTACAAAACAAAAACAGTTTATTATTCATATTTAACATTCTCAATGACGATTAGTTTTTTGTAGAGGGACTTCACAATTACCATGCATGGCTGGGAAGATAGTGTCACTATTTACGAGCACTTCCTGCTCTTCTAGAGATCTGAGTTCAGTTCCCAGCACCAACACTGAGTGGCTGGACCTCAAAGCTCAGGGTATCCAATGTTTTTTTCTGGCCTCCGGAGGCACCAGCACACATGTGGTATCCAGTCTGTCTCTCTCACATACACACACAGAAATAACTGGACTAGGAACACAGTTCAGTGGAGAGCATGTCTCTAATATGCGTAGCTTCAATCCCCTGTGATGGGGAAGCAATTAGTACTTTTTCAAATGAAGCTAAATACCAAAATAGAATACAACTGTATTTCACATCTGGAAGAACTGAACCTCAACGTAGAACATCACAGAATAGAGGTCTTGAGTCATTCCACTTTAGCAGAATATCCAAATCTTACTTTTTTAATTCTGAATTTCATTTGTAAATAATATATTTATGTTAATTTTATGTGCATTGATGTTTTGCCTTCAAGTACGTCTGTGTAAGGGTGTTAGATACCTTGGAACTAGATACAGGTGGTTGTGAGTTGTCATGTGGGTGCTGGGAATTGAACCTGGGTCCTCTGGAAGAGCAGCCAGTGCTCTTAACCACTGAGTCAACTCTCCAGCCCCAAATCTTAAGTAAATTAAAAAACAGTAAGCATAGCTCAAGTGCAAGGCACTGTACTATAGTCCTTACATGTAAATACTATCTATATTTACAGTTTAAAAAAAAAAAAAAAGGACACAATCCAGTCATGGGACCGACCAAACAAAAACTACCACCTAAAAACAATCTCACACAATTCTTTGCATTATATCAGGTAGTTGGCAAGGAAAACTAATCCACACCTACAATATTTTTCATTATTCATATAACTCAATTTACTCCCAACCTAAATAAAATGAATGATGCCTGTGAACACATATATACAAATTATATATACAGATTGTATAGTTACATGTGATATATAGGGACCCCAAGGGACCCAGATATTTCAGGATCATAGGTACCAAACACAACCATTTTCAACACACACAAAGCTCTAGGGAGGGTTATAGTATCTATCAAGTATTTACTTATGAAACTTCTCTACAAAGGAAAAGAAAAAGTAGGATGCAGATGCAGAGATTAATATGCAAAATACACATTTGACATCTTACTCACTTGCAAGGTGAAATGGGATGATGGTATACACACTCATCCCCATTTTTACAAGCAGGCCAGTACTTGCAACGCTCCAAAAGCTTTTCTGGCTTTTGTGCCACACTCAGGTCAGTCATCTCAGCTTCAAAGAAGAATTAAGAACATTTTGTTAATTATGATTTCAGTACAGAGTTTATTCAAATAAATTTGCCCTAAACCCAAGACTCAAAATTGGATGTTCTTTAACGTTTGCAGCCCTATAAAGTAACCCCAATTGATATGGCCAATCCTAGTAATGGAACACGTTAGCAGGAAGGAGATCAGAGTCATCATTATAAAACCTCTGGTACACAGGGATTCTGTAGGTAGAACTCAAGTTTTCACCAAAGTCTAAATTTCAGTCTCAGAACTTTTTCTGAGGTATATTGAGTAAGGCACTAAACTGTTCTGGTATCTAAAAAGAAAACAGCTTTACCTAAAATGGACCAGCACTCCCTACAGGCGGGGGAAAAAGGGGAGAGAGAATGTCATCTAACAGAGCAAGTCTGAACTTGGTTGAGTAGAAGATGCTAAGCTGGGAGACAGACTGGGGAACCATGACCTAGAAAAAAAGCCTCACAAATGGAGTTCACTGTCTCTGCATTAAAGTCATGTCAATATCAACAATATCGCACGTGAGAATGGGACCTCTAACTTTCATAAGACATCTGTATGAAAGTAATTTATGGCACCAAATAAAATTACACATGAAGGCCATATCTGCTGCCTTTTGATCTGATACATCATACAAAAAAAATCCATCGTTGGGTCTTACGTGTTATCTATCACATTGTTTAGGATGCCAATTCTCACCTCAGCTATACTGCAGCAGTGGTGCCAAGCTCTGGTGAGCATATCTGGCTCTGCATGGCAGCAGTTCATCTAGACACCTCGGCAAAAATCTAACATCTGTGAAAGCCACCTTGGTCAGAACCAGATTATTAGATAAAGAAGGTGACACTTCTGCTCTAGAAACCCAACT